AAAAATGAAAAATTTATATTTTTTTATTTTGATCAAAATTATTTTAATCATAACGTTTTTAATACAATTTTATAATTATATTATTTGGAAAATTTAAAAAAGAATTTAAATCTTTAAAAATTTCTTTTTTAAAAATTCTCAAACTCTGATCTATGAAAAAATTTTTTCATAGACTTAAATTTTTTTAAGTTCTGAATATTTACGAAATTGTATTAAAAATGTTACGATTAAAATTAATTCTGATCAAAACAAAAAAAGTGTTATCAATTTTCATATAATAAAAATATAAAATTAATCGTCATCTTCGAATCTCTAATATGAATACGATCAGACATCGTAAATTTCATAAAAACATTAATATATTAATAGCAAATTTCATTTGCAAAATATAAAATTATGAGTTATAATAAAAAATTCGTATTACATAAAGATAAAACAACATATTATCTTTATAAAGTAATTATCTCCAAAAATCATGTATACTTTACGAAAATATATAGAACACTTACAAAAGTGAAAACAAAATCAGCACGGAAATAGCATTCGAGATGACAAATGTATAATTCAAGTATTCGCTTTCATTGGAAACATCGCTGAGAAAAACGAGTGTTGTTTTCGAAGCCAACGGTGTTGGACGGATTCAAAGGGGAATACAAACAAAAGGCAGGAGAAGAATAAAGTTATATTATAATTTTCTATGAGAAAATTTCTCTCACCGCATTACGGTGCAAGTTTGAAAAGATTTCTGAATTTTACGAAAGAAACTTTTTCAAAATAATCTTAATTTACTACATTTCTCACTTTCTGACATTCTATTGCCAAATCGCAAACTTTATTCACTTGTATGCAAGATTGAAATCTGTACAGATAATCTTAATATATTTTTCAAAATTAATATTTATGATATTCAAATTTTGACAACTGACATTTCAACATTTCTGTCTAATTAAGCTTTCTTGATACTCGCATACTATTAATACATATAAACATTTTTTTAACTAATATCTATGCTGATGTATATTGATTTTCTAGAAACTCTCAATATTAAAAGCTAATAAAAATAAAAATTAAAATAGTTCATTTAAACATCCACAGGCATCGTGATAACATTTCTGCTATTTAAAAAAAATATCCGTGTGCTAGACAAAGAGGCACCGCCAATTCGATGACTGAAGACAGAAGCGTTGCGATCGAAGTCGGAGGGAGGGAGGGGGCGTCACATCGCCGCCAACCCCATCACCCCATTTTTGTCGATTCTTTCAAGCTGTGAATTGGTTTCTAGCAGTAACCTCATAATGACATATCATGTTAATGTTCTAAGTACAACCTAAAAATATCGGACTATGATGTAGATTTTGTGAGTACATCTTGAGAATATGCAACTATGATATATACTATATATACTATACAGATATTATACATTATAAATATTTCTCAGTATCGGCAGATGATTACAATATATTCGGTATAAGTAGAATGTGTAGAAAGTTAAATATTATATTATATCGGTAAGCGAAATAGAATTGTTAGATTATTACTATATCATCTTTGCCGATATAAGAAAAACATTTTAAATATAAAACTCTTAAAAATTCAGGAAAATGAATGTCAAATATGTGTGCGAATATTGAACGTTTTCCTACACGTATGATAAAATTTATCATTTTAATATCTGACAGAGAGAGATATCTTTATCGCAATTCTTTAATACTCTTGTTATATTTTTATGCATTTCTCGTATTCTATAACCTATTTATCATCGATAAAAGCAGTCAAATATAATTTAATAATTTAATTAATCTTGACTCTGACCACTTATATGTCACAATACAATCACACGCAAGCTAGATTTCGAAATCTTTATGGGACCTATATTACACACATATACATATATTCATATACATGCACATATATTCATATACATGCGCACACACATACACACGCGCGCGCGCCTATTTTTAAGTAATTATTATATTTAAGTAATTATTTCGCCCACGAAACTTATTTGAAATACAAATATTTTCGAACTGATAAATAACAATATAAAAACAAACATAATGTTTTTAAGTTACTTTATCGATATAAATAAAAAATTATTATATAATTCATTTTTTAAAAAATAAAGTCTAAAAAATGAAGATTTATAAAACATATATCATAAACACTTTCAATAATTTACATTTTTAATATTAACTTAATACTTTAAAGAACAATATTTTCAATAGCAATTATCTTTCTGGAAATAAAATCTGAAAATATGCAAATGCATCTCTTGGCAATTCTCACGATATTTTCACTTCTTTTCAGAAAATCGTATAAAGTTGTGCAGAAAGCAACTTGAACCGGCGCCAGATAAGATCGTGCGTAGTTTCCGCTAATCGCTTCATAATTAATTCTAAGTAAAACGAAAAATGAAAGAAACAGTTCCTTAGTCAAATCATATCAATTGCGTCGCAATCGAGCCATATTCATCATGACATTTTTTCAGCAGCAACTATTAAGATTTAGTTATTTTCCATCTTTAATTAATACATAGAGCAATCGCTATTTCCTATTTCCACTTTGAATATGAAAATTACTTTTGTGTACAAAACTTCTCATTTACAAGCTGCTCTGTTTTAACATTGTTAAGAGACAAAACACTATCATTTAAGCTGTAATGCAAATTATTTGAAAAAAAAAAAAATTTAATATTACGAAGATATATATTACATATAGAATATATGTATATAAATTTTTAAAAGATGTGACACGTAATAATATGAGTGCTCTAATTGTAAATCTTGAATCTAACGAATTTCGTTATAGATATTTTATCACTTTCTTCTACCATATCGTTATCTCATGAATCATAGATTTATATTTACGTTGCGATTGTTTTTTTTTATATGACAGGTTGATAGAAAAGAATTTTTCTCGAAGCTTTATAAGCAAATATTTTACTATCTTGATTTATTCATAAAAAATCAATTTCTCATAAAAAATCAATTTCTTCTATATTCAAAAGTTATTAAAACATTAAATTAAAAGCAGATTTAAATATTTGTTGAAAGAAAATTATCATTTCAAAACATTGAAAGTTGCGTAACGTGGAAGTTGGTTAAAAGAAACAAAAGCAGCTTACGCATATAAATACGATGTAAAATAATGTCATACACGATGATTTACATATTTGTACATACGCATGTGTGAATATTTCTGAATAAATAAATTACTCCTGTCTTATTTCGTGAGATTTATTATTTTTAAGTAAATTTGTTATTTAAAATTGGAGAAACTGTGCATTAATAAGACAAATTTCTTAGTTTCGTGTTTTTAAAAAGATTGAATAACTTTGATGAGAAAAATTTAACTTCGAACAATAAATCATTTTTTTTTCAATATGTTCTTATGTTAATATCTTATGTTATATTTTATTGTTAAATATGTTCTTTAAAACAATTTTTATAAACAAATTTCCACGCTTTTAAAAAAGGTTGTTTTAAGCTGTATTAAAAAAGAATTTAAAGAATTAAAGAAAATTTAATTCTGCTTTGTAAACAACCGCAAATTTAAAAATGCTATAAAATTTTTAAATATACAATTTAATATTGTGAAATCATACAAATTTTAATTTCTCATTAAATGCTAATTCTTACAATAAATTATAAGTAAATTAATTTCTCTGTTTAATAAACTGATTAGTAAAATTTTGTGACTATTTCTTCTATTGTTAATTTTAATTTAGTTTTAGTTTTTTTATTATGCGCAGATGATTTCATTGCCGGCTTTAAAATATCTTAATTGATTCATCATTCAGTTTTTATATATAGTACAAAAAATATAAAAAATACTTTGAACTCACCTTATCGACTCTATTAAAACTTCCAAAATCCATTTTAAAAATATATTTTAAAAACGTTTTAAGATTGACCAAGAATTGATCAAGAATAAATAAAAAAAAAGAAAATATTTCTATCTATTATCTACATTTCCATACATATATAT